TGCTCAAGGAGTTTAAAACCATCCATATCAGGCATGTTTACGTCGCTGATTACGATATCGTATCCATCTTTTCTCTCCCTAAGCAGGCTTAGAGCCTCCCTTGCTAAACAACATGTTGTCACTGCAACACAAGATGTTAAGCGTTTCAGCCTGATTTTGAAAAAGTTCATCGGATTCAACTAAATAAGCTGAATTCTGAAATGGGATCATCTAAACTGGCCTTAAACAGTGAAAAACGCACAGTTTCAGTTTCATTTCCAAGCTTTAGCTGTAATAGATCTCATAAAAGTGACCTTGAGCTATGATTGAATAACTCAAGTAAATGAAGGGAGAAAACATGTTGAGAAGAAAGAAATCTTTGTCTGGTTTCAGAAACAGTGTTTTAGATCCTACTTCTCGTGGATTTTAAGGTTCAAAATTTAGGATCTAAAACACTGCAAATATGTATGAAAAGCTTTGATGTTTTCAGATGGGCTGTATCATTATCAGTTCTATATTGAAAAGGCCGAAACAATTCACAGCCTCAAGAATTGTAATAGTACCAATCAAGTAACAAACTAAGACAGAGAGAGAGAGAGGTTTGTTCTTGTAAGTTAACCTTCATAGGAGCACTTCTTGAGCATCTTTTCCAGGATTCTCAACCATGTTGGATCATCATCAACGACAAGAACACGAAGACCGACGGGAAACGCATCGCTACGAGGAGAAGAGAAGCCATTTTCCATGACCATGGAGCTCTGGTGGAGATGAGGAAGGAGAAAATGAACAGTGAGTTTGTAACAGTTGTTCAAAACTGTCTGGGTTTTGAAAATGGCCCAAGTTTAGAGAGAGAGAAGCGCCTAACAGTTCCCTTCAAAAGATTCATAGAATGCTATATATCCACAAAAGAAGCATGAAAATCAGAGGTGAAAGAATATGAGATGGGGGGAAAAAGGCATCTTTACAGGGGACCTGCTTAGTTGAAGAACAACTTACAAACATATATATATATATATATATATATATATTTTTGGCATACAAAAGCATTGAAATGACTTTACAATAATTAAACAAAGAGAGTGCAGAGAAAGGAATAAAAGTATATAAAAATGAAAGTATATGAGGGGAAGCCATAGGGAGGGAGCAGTTATAATGAACAGTAGGAGCAACAATCCAACAAATGAAGGTGGGAACCCCTTTTTATCTGCTCAACTTCATTTCCCTTTTGCAAATTTGTATTCCAACCTTTTTTCTCCCCTTCAAGATCTTTCCATGTTTGCATCCAGCCGTGGATTTTTGCATTGTTCTTGTTCTGTACTGTCATTCAACAATTTGTTTGAATCTGATATTAATATTGAATGTGGGAGAGAAGAAACAAGCTCCTCTCCCTCCATCATCAGCTACCAGCTCCAGCCACTTTTGGTACTTTTTAGTCTTTACTATATATGGAGAATGTCCCTCCATTGCTCCAATGGGGTAGCCATGGCAGCTTCAACCCTGCTCAAATTGCCCTTCACAGATGGGCTTGAACAGAAGCAACAATTCCTTCTATAATCACTTAGAGGTCTACTTAACCCGTTTGAGATTGAGATGACTTTTTAAGTACTTACCTACAAGGCTACCTATCTCTTTCTTCAAGCTTGTTTGGAATGACTTTTTAGATAATAGACCCTTCGTTTTCATTTTGAAATGACTTTCTAAGTACTTTTGGGCTTTCTCTTTCGGGCTTCCTCTTAAGGTTTTTAAAACGTGTTTGCTAGGGAAAGGTTTCCACCCCTTATAAAGAATGCTTTGTTTCTCCTCTCTAACCAATGACACTGCCTCGTGTCCACCCCCTTTTGGGGTTCAGTCTACTCACTGGCACATTGCTCGATATCTGGCTCTGATACCCTTTGTAACAGCCCAAACTCACCACTAGCAGATATTGTTTTCTTTGGGTTTTCCCTTTCATGTATCCCCTCAAGTTTTTAAAACACGTTTGCTAGGTATAGGTTTCCACACTCTTACAAAGAATGTTTCGTTCTCCTCCCCAACCGATGTAGGATCTCACATTACCAGTATGAAACGACTTTCTAAGTGCTATCTATCCCTTTCGTCGAGCCTGTTTGGAATGACTTTTTAGATGCTTACCTACTTCGAAACAAGCCCGTCTCTTTCATTTTCCGTCTTTTATAAAAAGAAGATGAATGGAGAAAACAGTACTAAGTTCATTAAGATTGATAGACGAAAAAGTTGGTGCAGGCACGTGGACTCCATTTGAGGGGGAAAGACAGCTTTAAAGAGAAGCAAAACCAGAGTGAAGAGAGGGCTAAGTGGGCAAAGCAGAAGATCACCTGAAGTCTGCAGCAGAAGACTAAGACCTACAGAGGCCCAATTGGAAGGTCACATCTACTCAAACTGCTTCCTCTTATCACTTAGTCTTTTAAGAAACTCATTAAATATTTAAAAGTGGAAGCATTTTAACACAACCCCATTGCTTGCCTTGTCTCTTTGTATGGGATGCCCAATAATTCACCTTTTATATTATTAATTCTCATCTTTATGTACTTCCATCTATTATATTATGCTCTCTAACTCTTAATTAACTATCATTATAACACAATTAAATCAACATTATCACCACAATTAACAACAATATCGATATTAATATCAAATATCAATATCAATATCAATATCGTCCAAGTATATGTTCTGTCTTGAAGCTATTGGTTTGTGATTTGTTTAAGAGGGTTATGAAGTTAAAATAAGTTATAAATAAAACCAAGTTCATCAGTGGAAAGTGACATTCAAAGTACTAATATGATCCTCACTTATTAGGACCCTCTAATCATGTCACATTCAAACTAATTCCTCGCTTAATTATTAATTCAATGCGTGAAAGATGCTAAAGCTATTCTTTTTTTTAATAATTTTTTTTTTAAAAAAAATATAGAATTTAACCTCTTGGAAAGTTGGCAAATTAAATTATGTGGCAAAAAGGAACCAAATAATTCTACAATATATGGTTGGAAGTGAACCAAAACGAGGTCTATATTTTAAGGACAACCAAAAAGCTTCTCTGTTAAGACAGATTATTATTAATATTATATACTATATTCTTTCTTTCTTATCTAGTGTCTAAATTTAAAATCATATAAAATTTCAAGAGCGAAGACTATTATAAGCTATTTAAACATGTTTTATCCTTACTTACCTGCTTCCTATTGAAATTTCTGCAGGGTCGCCTGACATAAAATTATTCTAAACGAAAACACATTTGACTTTGAAGTTCTTGTTGGTATTTTATTCAACTTTTCTTCGAGGATTCTATAGATTCTAATATGATCTTGATTCATTGATGTACCTGTTATGTACCTGTTATGTATTCAGTGTCAACTTGGTGTCACGAGTTCAAAGTTTGACCTTTTAGTTCGGGGATAGTGGAGCCGTAAGAGAGAGAGGGGGTTGTAGGTGAGAGAAAATTGTGGTATAATGGGTCTAAAAAGGAAATGCCCACTAACAAATTCTTTTTGTCAAATTAAATATAAATATGGTTATTGTAGAGAAAATAAAAAGAAAATAAGGGGAATTGTGAGGATGAACTTGATGCAACTTCCTCCAAGTGGACTCAGCTTTATATTAGTTTATATGTAAAGTTGGAATATGGGTTTTGCCTAATGCTCGCCCTTACCTCTTTAATTATATTCTCTTCATTTTCCTTTTTTTTTTTTTTTTTTTTTTTTT